CATTTTTTTAAATTCCAAAATAAAGTTTTTACAACCCGATCATTAATTTAGTTTGTAAATTCAATGCAAAAAAAAGTCGCGTTTTAAGGTTCGTTTGTCACTGCTAGAAGTCGAGTTTTCTCAACTAAGAAAGGTCGACATACGCCAAAATCTGTATACGAAATAAAATTGATAATTCGAGTGCAGACAGGAGGGAGTGGTGGAGCGAGCGAATCTTAGTTCGAAACTTGGCCACCGGCATCGCACAGATGTCGCGTATTTACAATACCATATTTTCACAGAAGTGGAGAATTCGCGTAAGGCACATTTATTTGCTCGTAGTTGCGCATCTTCCCACTATTTTTCAATCAACGATACTGGCCACCTTTTCTCTATCTCACTGACCTTCTATTCAGATTTTATTATTCAATGACATAACCAAACAAAACATTTTATCCTATGTTTTTAACTTCACCATTGTTATGTCAGTTATGTGGTGATTTTAATTAAAAACTTTAAAAAACAAATGTCTGTCTCCGTCTCTCTACCTCTTTCCAACCATATGCCTTTCTTTTTACTGTTGTATTCATCCTTTTTGACAAGTATTCCTTCACCTTTTCCCCGTATCCTATCACCATTCAAATTAAAGTAGGTAATACAAGTTTGTCTTTTTTACTTTACGATATTCATTTGTTGTGTTTCTTTTTCTTTTTGGTATTGCAACTTCACGATAAACTTGGAAGACACTGTCTAAATAGGTATTAATCCTATCCGTATCAAAATGAAAGTGCGCTCATTTAACACTTAACGGGACTGCATACCCTTCCCGTTATAACGGCGCCAACCATATGACGGCAAATCGTTTGACGGGAGCGCAATCAATAACCGTTTATTAACGGGACTGTAAAATTGGATGGTAGGGGCAACTAAAACAAGATTTATTTGCAAATTAACCTATGGTAGGAGCTACGTCCCTAAAAGTTTTGCCTACCTTTTTGTGAAATGCCTCCTTCTGATTTTGTAAAAATATTTGAAAATTACTGCTTCTGAATGGGGGTACGATTATACGAAACAAATTCTCATTTCTACCAAAATAACTTCAAAGTTATTTTTTGAAAATTTAAAAAAAACTGCAATTCTGTGGTTGGCAGCCTAAAGGGCGTAAGTCATATTTCAGCATTACAGGAGAGCTCGTTATGATTTTATAAATCCGTTAATTTTGTAACTTGATACAAATATAGGTACTTAATTGCATACATGCATCTATCATTCTGTGTCGTAATATCGACTTAAATCGTTAATTTTTTGATATTTGCGACACTTTAAACTTACTGCATGCGAAATTAGATGACCCACTAGTAGACGGGTGACACTTTCTGACCCAAAACTTTCAAAAATAAACTTCAGATTGGTGGTTTTCATCTTCAATAACCCCCAGATACCAAATTTCGTCGAAATCAGAATTTTTTTCGCACCCCCACTTAGGGGTGCGTCCTTTCGTGGTTGGAATTTTGATAAAATGTTTGCAAATCGCAAAGGGCATACTCAAAAACCTAATTTCACCACTTTTTTTGTGAGTGGCTTTAAATTTTTATGGACGTACTTATAATATCACAGATTTAAACACTCAATCTGTGCTTATATAAAATGTCGGAGGGGGTTGTAACGCCCAAATCCCCCTCCCATGAGTGCGCCCCTGATATTTTGCACATCTGATGTAATAGGGAATATGCATGTAATTTTTTTAATTTTTTAATCGCTTTTTTACTTCGTTCTAACATAGCAAAAAGAGTAAACACTGTTAGAACAATTCAATTTAACTTGTAAAATAATATTTAAAACGTTGACTTTATTCGATGTGTTTAAACGCCGCCACATTTTCAGCGGGCCTTGGATGACGTCACAAGCCACGACCAGTATTTAAGTGTTGATTTATTTATACAGATTTTCAGTTGTAATAGCTATTCAGACCATGGAAAAAGCTAAAAAACCATTTTATAGGTATTGTCTTGTACAAAAGTGCAAAAACACTATTAGAAATATTCCCGATAAAGTGTATTTTGCAGTTCCAAAAAGACGACTCCCAGAGCGTTCTCAATTTTTTTACAGTTAGTGAACCCTAAAACAACCTTTTTCAACAATTGTGCCGTTGATTCTTGCAAATCGACGGACTATGCAATTTTGTTTCAAAGTCCGATGAATTTTCTTATTAGTTAACAAATTGAATAATTTCCAAAATACTAGTCCAGTAAGAATAGATCAAAAAATGGCAAATAGGGGAACTAAATCATGCATTATACTAATTCCTTCGGAAATGTGTAGCAGAAGGTTCCCTGACCGTGGTTTTGATGGTCACATTGTATAGTTTTTTACTTACAATTCGAAAACGGTGCGTCATAGAAAAAAATTCTTTTCAATATAAAGCTCATTAAATTTGCTACAACTTTGATTCTATACACTTTCTTTGTTTTTGACCCACCAAGATTGAATATGTGGATTATACACATGCATGACCGTACTAGCCACCTCGATACGTATAGCGGGATTTACCCTCATTTACCCTCAACAGCGGTGGGGTGGTATGAGAGGATAGAATCGAATGCTCCACCCCATCAAGACTAGCGACCCGCGTACTTTAACGGCCCACCGGTCCTCTAGGACGGCGATGAAGAAATCACTTTTTCGAACAGCGAAGATTAGTCTTAGGTATTGTTAATATGCGTTACACATTGCATAAAGCACGATCCCCTCCTTTATGCAGTTACGATGAGGTTTCTTGGAGGGAAAAAACCACAGGAAATCATGATGTAGGTGTTGGTCATATACTACATTGATATGTATCCACATATGAAAATATTTAATCTTGGATAGTCAATACATAAAAACGATGCGTTTTTTCCGTTTTTTCCTAATTATGTATCCACTCAAAGTTATAGCAAATTTAGTAAGCTTTCATTTTTAGGTACCTACAACATTTTTTGCTATAGCGTACCTTTTCCACGTTGTAAGCAAAACACTAAAAAATGGGACCTCAAAAGCCGCTCTCACGATTGAGGGAAACGTCCCTTACACAATTCTGAAGGAACTGGTAATACATGAATTAGTTCCTCTATTTTTCCTATTCTGACTGGGCTATACCACACGAAATGTAAATCTATAGTAGGCGAATGGAAAGCTCTCTCGGAAAGACCTACATTAAAAAAATACGTCCAAATCCGAGTTCACGAGAAATCAGCTTTTGACTTCGGACTTGTTTTCGACACAACAAAAAAATGATTTTGCAAATCGGGTCGCATCGAACGATTCATTAAAGGGTGAGCTTTTTAATGCTTCAATTTTACCAAAATGTATGATTTTTATTAATCAGAACGCCAAGGGCCTATTATAGAGTTACCTTCCTTGTTATATTTCGGGAGTTATTAAATTTGTTAGTTAACTAAAAAAAATTCCACAGTTCATCAATTTGCAAGAATCATCGGGACAAATTTTGGAAATGGTTGTCTTAGGATTCCACCATCTGTAAACAAATGTAGAACGTTCTGGGAGTCACCCAGTTTAAAAGACCAAGTATCGTTTTGTAAATTTGTTTATTTAATTATGCCATAACTATCAAATCTACGGTGATCGGGTTTGTCATATTGTTTTGTTATCAAAAGAAGTGGATACAGATTTTCAAAAAGATCGGATGAATTTTACTTAGTAATAACCAGTTGAACATCTTCGGGATTGCTTTTTTATATTTTTCCATAAAAAACAATAACATTTGAAAATGAACGTTTCATACCCATTGTATCTTATAGAAAATTCAATTCTAAACCTATTCATTTCTCTTCATTTTTCCCTTAGAGTAATAGTTAACGAGATAATTGAAGTCAAATGCGAAAAGAAACGACATCTTGCCATTTTTTCATCGGTTTTTGTTTACACATAACAATATATTCCGGGAGTTTTCGGCTAGAGGGACTGATTTTCGGATTCAGCGGATCTTTTTACATAGAAGACACTTGATTTCGTTGAGTGAAATAACAACACCCAGCTCAATCTGCCCAAACTGTAATTTGACTGCACCTACATTATATTATATTATATTATATTATATGAATATTACAACAAATGCGATCGCGTGGCATTTGACGTCACTTTCATTCGTCCAATAGTGAAGCGTTTCGCAAAGTTGAATTTCGTACGCTTATTTTGCACTTTTGAATTAACATTTTTAGCAATTAAAAACAAACTAAATAAGAAACTAATGGTTTAAGTACAATGTCAGGACAATAAATATTTGCTGGAGAAAGAATCAAGTAAATTTAAAACACATGCATATTTATATTATTTTAATTTTTCTGTTGCCTCGAATAGATTCTGTTTATTTTTTTTTTAAATTCATCACTTCATATCTTAAAATAATAAGATAATTTTATAATTAGAGAAAAAATTTAAAAAAGAAACACCGTCAAGTGATTGCCAGTACCTACCATTACTTTGAAAAAATCAACTTTATTCATCCAACCGTAACCAATTAGTTATATCCTGTAGAAAGTTCGTAAAAAACCGACCAACAATTGTTTTTGTACGGAGTTATCAAATGTTCGCGATTTTTTAAAATCTTTTTTAAGAGCTATTATCAACGTTTTCATTTGGTGTATAACTTATTTTCTCAAAAAACAACCATTCAAAATTGATATCGCAAGAAGTGCAGCAGCACCTTAAGTCATATGACCTGAGGCGGCAGATGATCGATTTTAGCTTACTCGGATAGGCCAAAGTAGAAATTTTGATCACTCTCGTTCAGTGGAGCTCCCCTACCTTATTATAGTATCCGTAGTTTCAAAAGGATTCAAACAAACTACCCGCGATTGAAATTAGTAGTGAGGATTGGAATTTGGAATCCGTGAGTCGTCCCGTAGACTGCCCCTTTTTCTTTCACTTTACGACGCATTTCACGTTGGCATCGTTAACATCCTTGTCGCATTGAAACTGGAACGGTTGATTATGTTAAGTAGTTAGAAAGGAGCATTAACTTGAAGATATAGATAATACAATTTATTAAATAAAAACAACTACCTACTTTTTATAATAACTAACTAAATATGAGTCGATGCAATTTTGAAGTCGAATTAAAGTTTGACCGGCACTATTCCCAACTGGCACGTTTTTACAATGCTTAATGGTCTCCTCCGCTATAGCCTCTCCAAGAACGCTACCTTCTGGAGCGTTCTCCTTAAAAATTCCTTCAGGAAAATACTTTACTAATTGGATCAGGTTCGCAATATTTAACTCGCCGTTTGAGTGTTGCACCCCCATTTGTTGACCGCGACAATGGATGAACTTGGAGAAAGCGTCGTCATCTTCTGGAAGGTTACCTGGCGCGTATGCCTTCACTACCTCACCTATGTGCGACTCTTCCAAAGATAAACTGCGTATGCATTCTTTTTCCTCTGGATTAGCCCACCCCTCATCGTTCGACTGACACAACTAGGTAAATGTCTGAATTATACAACGCAAAAGATAATTTGCTAAAACTTACACATTGCGAGACAGCTAGTAACAGTATCGAGAGTACAAGTCTCATTTTTTAAACTGGGACAGGTGATTATGCTTTGAAGATATTTATTTGCACTAATATGGTCACATGTTGCTAATTACAGAAAACATTTGAAGTAATTATTTTGAAGGTCCAATTTTAGGTGTGATTTCCAACCGACGTTTGATCGTTAACGTAAATAAGCGAAAAACTGTGTTTGATTATTTTTTACTTATTTCACGCTATTAGTTTTGCAAAAGTAGGTACAGCGAGATTCAGAAGTAACACCACATATGTCTGTGGTAACACGAACAACATACAAACGTTGTCTGTGTACCACTATTTGATCCCTCTATATTCTAAGAATATACCTCTATATTCTAAGACCTTGGAGATTCACTTTAACGCATTAGTTTTAGATTTATAAGGAACACCCATCCGTGCGAAATGAGTGATCCTGAATGCAATCGGAGCCCTTCATTAAATGGTGTGATCGTGGGGAGATGAATAAACAAAAGTTGTCCTATGTACGTACTTAATTCAGACCGATCACGGGCGACTATAAGGTCTGAATTCGCTCTATAAACTTCAGTGGTGTCATTAGTATGTGTTTACATTCAATTTTCTGTTTGCTTTCAGAAAAATAAGCGTCCCTTCGAACTCAATTTACGTTCAATTGAACTTTAATTATTCAATTATATCGCTCAAAAGTTCTAACACTACCGTATTCACACAAATTAACAAGTTTATTCTTAACACACTACCCTCCATTATTTTTTCATAGGAAATGGCGCAGTCGTCCTACCACAGTATTTTTGTATGGGGAACCAATGATCTTTGGGGGCACTTTCTCAGATTTGCCGGTGCTCCCCTCTTCTTTTAAATTTGTTAATTACGTAAATCAATTTTGTGTTAGGAGGCAGCTATTGAAATCGTACCTACTAATAATCTTCTACATGAGCTGGTTATTCAGTCAACACTGAAACTTCAAAATAATGATATATCCCCTTTAAAACACTATTTGGAATAACATAAGAAATTGAAAGAGGCATTATGCTATTTAAAGCAGCCGCCGGTCCTTTGCTGAGCGCTACTCCACGGAGATTCCTAGAACGAATTAAAGTTTTTGCAGTAGAATTTTAACAGTAAATAATGAACGTTAGTAAGGGAGGTAGGTATTGGATTGGGGTAAAAATGAACCCCTCACATTTTTGACGAAAATACACGTTTTGAAGCACCAGTAATCCGAATCAAACAAAATCTCGATGATTTCGGTCTGTGTGTACTCTTAATTTCCGGCTAAACGGCTGAACCGATTGGAACCAAATTTGGTACACATATATTCTTAGACATACGGGTAAAATAGAGGACTGAAATTCTTTTGCGTAAAACGCGTATGAGCAGGTGTACAGGGGGGGAGGGGGGGATTTGTGCTAGCATCGGCAGCAAATTTTTATGAATTGTGTTTTAAACAAGAACAATAATTATTATCATTATTGATCAAAGAATTATTAAGTTAGATAAAAGAGTAAAAGTAAGTAAAATTTAAATCGGGAGGAATGTAAGCGAAAGCGAATTTTGGTTCTTTATTTTAATATAATTATTCGATATTTCGATTTTAGGTTTTGTTTGCAGATAAGTGCTCTAGAGCAGGATTATAAGGGATGTTATTTCTTCTCCTCTATATTGTCTCTGATTATGTTGTTCTATATATTGTAATTGAATTGGGGGTGGTTGTTGTTATGTAATTATACATTAGTATGCCTGGGCTTCACCTCGGCTATTAATCCTCTTCTGGCCTCTTACGGTAAAGGGGTAAAGGGTAAAATATGATTTTAGCTTTGAACGAGGCAGATAAAAATTGCCTTTTTTTGCATGGCCACCTCACTATTATGTAAATTACATATAACTTATTTAAGATTAGAATATAAAACCCAGGAAAACCGAGATATTTCTAAAACTATCAGAGATAGGTATTATTATCAAAAGTTGAAGGTTTTTGGAGGAGCTAAATGATGACAGACAAATATACAGGGTCTTCCACTTAAAAAAAGTGAGATTTTTTTAATGTGAAGTTTTGTAAATTTGGATCTAGAAAAAAAAACACCCTGTAAGCTACTTTTTTAATGTTTTATAGTAGATGTATTTATTTGACTTTTACTTAACCCAGGATAAAAGATATAAAACCTGGAATCAAAATTTAAGCAATAATTTTGACAATATACTGAAAAATCGAATTATCTTTAAAACTACTAGTTTTTTGATATTAACGATTAATAAAAAAGACGTACAATTACACGTAGAATTCAAAAATGCATTCAAATACAGGGGGTTCTATTTAAAAAATTTACCATTTGGGTGCCTTACTTTGTGGACGCACCCTGTATAATTCCAAATATTTTTAAAATGTGGAGAATATTCAACCATATCATAATACAAAAGCACTCTATCGAAAAATCTTATCTTCAAGGCATTTAGTTACTCCTCTCAATCTTTGACTCACCCTGTACAGGAGAACCGGTAGAAATAAAAAAAATGTCGGAAGACACAACGACTAAGATGAAGATGCATCCACAACTCAAGTATGGAGAAAAATAAAAAGCATTACGGGTAAGAATCAACCACCACAGTCCACAGCCTCCAATAATAACATACACAGATCTAGGAGAAACAGGAGAACTACTTGGCAGGTGCCATGGGAACATACAAACTATACATGAATTTCCTAAAAGATAAAGAAAAAAAAAGGAAGAAGAAACATTCACCTTCTCAGATAGCCGAAAAGAGTTTCATACCTGAATTAAAAACTGCTCTATCTAAGACCAAAAACACAATCCCTGAACCCGACGAAGTCACATTTGGGATGATCTCTAAACTACCTACACGCAAAAAGTATACGCTTTTTTAATAGCATGTATGTACACAAAAATACTTACCTTAGTGCATGGAATGAAGCATGTCATCCCATAATAAAGCTTGGGAAAGATCCAAGGAAGATTGAAAGCTTCAGACCAATATCATTAAGCTACTGTTTAGGTAAACTGTGTGGAAGTCTTAGGAAAATAGATTAATTAGTACTTACCAAGCTGGCTTCCGGAAGGGTTGATCCACATTAGACCACCTGGTTCACTTAGACCACATTATTAATGAAGCATTGGCCGAACGGAAATACCTTCTTAGTGTTTTTCGAGCTAGAAAAAGCGTTCGATACCACGTGGAGATGAGGAATTGATGAAAAATTAAAAAACTGGAAATTCAAAGGTCATTTTCCATCAGACCGACGCTTTAGAATACCAATAAGCAAAACGGAATCTCCCAAGGTTCAGTGGTCTGTGTAACTATATTCGCTCTATCGTAATTAACGGTATAGCAGACCGTATAAAGAAAGACATAACGCCATTGATTTATGCAGATGACCTAGCTATAATTATTAAACGCAAAAACCTAGAAGAGATGGGAGAAAAAACGCAAGACGCCAACAACACCCTTGTAAACGACGATTTATAAGGAGGAAGTAAAATTTGTGGGACTGGCGCTGGATAGAAAACTGACATGGAGACTTCACATACAGAATGTCCAAAATAAAGTAAAATAGGCGCTATCATTTATCGCTCAGCCGCAAAATCCAACCGCAAATGATATCTGGATGTTTCAGAACATCTCCAAGTAGTTCCTACGGTGTACGAATATTTTATCGTGGAAAATAAAATAAGACGTGTGCAATTATAGAATAGTTTTAGTAACATTTGCAGCCAATTTGAAGTGGTTGCTGTGCAATTTCGTATACAGATTTACTTAAAATTTCACGGTAAATTATAAATCTACGACACCTCTCTCGTGCGGGGAACGTTAAGGAGCTGTAACTTCAAAGTAACGATCGGTTACGATTACAGTTCATTACGCCGCTACGTATCTTAATTCACCCTAATTTTACGGAAATAAGTACCAGGCGCTATGTTGCCGTTGTTTTTCTTTCTGACACTGATAAACTTTAAACCCGGTAATCTCAAAGGAAGTTGGGGCTTGGTGTGTTGCCCGGTCAAGCGTTCGGATGCACTATAAAAAGTTAAATAAGTTTTGTAAAATAAAATACTATTTTGCCCTGAACTTATATTCGAGTTTTCCGAGATGGGATGATTTGAATAAAATAACATCACCATACTATTCCTCAACGGGTTTTGTGGCAATTATTAGTAAGCTTTTCAAACGAAGTTATTTCAAGCTAAATAATAAAATGTTCAACAATTCCCTTCGAAAATCAACATTCCTGGAGAAAGACAAACAGTTTTTGTACAGTAGATGTACGGAGAATGAAAAAAAGGTGGAGAACACTTTATGATTCTTCTATTATATGTTCTAAAGATCTAGAAGTTCAAAGTGATTACCGCTCTATTCGATTTTAGTTTATTTTATATTTCACTGTAATTTGTACCTTTTATTTTTTCACAATTCCTTTAGCTCTTTATTTCCTTCATGAAATATCTATTTATAACTCTTTTCCAACAAGTTACGCCCCTTTAAAATCCACTAAAATACACATGTTCAAATGCTACATTTGTTATGTCCGGCGTCGCTGATGGTTTGGGCTCTTTCGAGAACTTCATTCGATATGGGGAAGGTCATCAAATTGCCTGGGTGTCAATGCACGTGATTATAAGCTCGTTGTTTATACATTAAGTAGGTTTGCAGAGTCGCTAGTTCCAATATACAACACAACTCATGTAGATAGCTAGAGTAGGGATGTCAAGCGTGTGTTAGTCTAAAATAGTTGCTTCTGAGTCTAAATAAATTTGTAGTTCAAAATTTGATATAAAAAATTTTAACGTATTTTTACCTCGCCCCCTTTCACATTACTCCCTCCACAGTTTGCGAAACGCTGAGTTAAACTTTTTCGATTCCAGGTAGATGAATAAATCATAATAAACAACATGAAGACCAATACTGCCAAATTTGGCGGGTATTTGGTAAATGCTTGATAATTTACATGTCTATGGATGTGATTCCAGTTACTACCGCCGGCAGCCCATTAGTAATTCAACCCAGCTGAAGTAAGTTCCACTGCCTTTTGTCGATGTAACTTATGCATTAAATCGATACAAGACAATGACCTCT